GATCGTGCACTCAACAAAGGCAAGGACATTCTAATGAAACTGACAATATTAAATTTTTAAAAAAATTACAAACCTTGCAAGCAAGGAAAAATAAATCAAATCTAAATAATAACAATATGTGTTGTGTCTGCAAAATCATGGTCAAGAAAACATGTTATACAATGTCAATACTGGACATTTTTACACTTTAATGCTTATGTTCAGTGTTTCTTATCCAGTCCATATATTCAATAAATTATTATATCAGCACTCAAAGATCTTTCATACGAATCTTCCTTTATTCCATATTTCAAAGTTTTAAAAAGAGCAATATATATATATATAGATAGATAGATAGATAGATAGATAGATTATATGTGTGTCTGTGTGTTCCAATCTATGATAAAACTGTTTAGCTAATTATACCACAGCAAGGTTGAATTGTTTTAAGCCATGTGAATATATATATATATATATATATATATATATATATATTCACATGGCTTAAAACAATTCAACCTTGCTGTGGTATAATTAGCTAAAATATATATTCACATGGCTTAAAACAATTCAACCTTGCTGTGGTATAATTAGCTAAACAGTTTGATCACAGATTGGAACACAGACACACACAGACAGTCAGACACAGATGGACACAGGTGGGCACAGATAGACGCAGACAGACACAGACAGGTACAAGCTGGCACAGAGAACACACTCAAGCTTACATGCATACACAGGCCCACCAAGACAGACACACAAAGGCACACACAGACACACACCAGAATACACAGATGCAAACAGATACACACATGCACAGACAGGCACACAGACGTAAAAAGGCAAAGACAGGTACACAAAGACACAGACAAGCACACACGGATATAGACAGATACACACAAACACAGATATAGAGATACAAGCAAAGACAGACAAAGACAGGTGCACCCAGGTACAGACAGGCACAGTCAGGCATACAGAGATACAGACAGGACCAGGCAGGCATACATTATATATACACACAGACAAGCACACACAGACATGCAGAGACAGGTACACACAGACACACAGGCACACACAGACACACAGAGGCACGTACAGACACACAGGCACGCAAATGTAAATTACATAAAAAGGATACTGGCTCCCTTGTAGGAAGTAGTCATACAGTTTGGGTGGGAAAGGCAGGAGGCAAATCCAGTATCTGTTTCAGGGTCAGCTGTCACAAGCATCTTTAAAGGAGGGCTGACAGAGTTCCACGAGCCCGGCTCTTCTCTTTCCATGCCCCCATGCCCAGATGCTGCGTGTTCCCTGTGCCAGGTCTCCTCAATTAGTATCATCCAAGAACGGAAACAGCACAGTAGTAGTGAGATGCAGAGAATGTAATAGATTCCCAGTATTTCTATCACTGCACTGCTTCTGCTCCCAGCTGGATACTATCTAAGGTTTAGGGGTGGAGAGCAGTGAAGCCTTTCAGAACAATAAGGTTTGAGGCTAGAGGCCCCACATCCATGGCTACTGCCACGCAACCCCTCAAAATTGAATAACATATAGTCTCCGACTTGTGCAAAGTATCGTTCAGATGATGGCTATTTCTACCACTTGCCTTCTCCTGTTGCAAACTGACAAAGTTATTCCCTAAAGAGTGAAAGGATGGGAGTACGAAACTGAATAAAATAAAAACAAAAGAGTAAAACGGAAAACAATCTCTAATATATTATGTTTTCACTTTAACTAAAAATTCACTTTGAAATCATCTGGAAATAACACTGAATTCCTAGTACTTTAGTAATTTGCTGACTGTGCGATGCTTAGGACTGATGGTAAGCCAGCACTAATCAAATTATAAAACTTTTTATATAATGGGACAATACAAAGAGCAAACTGAAATCTGTTTGTGTAAAAGGAAAATGACTAGATATTACCTCAATAATGGAACCTGCTAATATACTGCATGGTTTAGAGACTACCAACACAATGCAGTTTATTCACTAAATGACAAACTTTAGTGATTTTAAAACAGAATTTGAATATTTACCCAAAAATAGCCAAACTGTGAATAAAGCTTAATTGAACATATTTTTTTTTTGCTTTAAAAAAAAAAAAAAATATTTCTTAGTCTTTATGTAATTTTTATATATTTAAGACATACATATACAGGAACAATAGTTATACAAAACATATACAGTTTCAATACTACACCCTGTTCCAAATTATTATGCAAATTCTATGTAAGTGTCACAAAGATTAAATATTTTGTTTTTCAGTTTAACTCATGGATGGCATTGTGTCTCAGGGCTCTTTTCATCACTGAAAACAATCTCGGACACCTGTGATAATTAGATTGCCAGGTGAGCCCAATTTAAGGAAAAACTACTAAAGGAGGGTGTTCTACATTATTAAGCAGAGCACCATTTTCATGCAATATGGGGAAGAAAAATTATCTCTCTGCTGCCGAAAAGAATGAAATAGTTCAATGCCTTGTACGAGGTATGAAAACATTAGATATTTCACGAAAACTTAAGCGTGATCATCGCACTATTAAGAGATTTGTGGCTGATTCAGAGCACAGACGGGTTCGTGCAGATAAAGGCACATTGAGGAAGATCCATGCATCGGATCAAGACAGCAGCTGCTAAAATACCATTACATAGCAGCAAACAGATATTTGAAGCTGCTGGTGCCTCTGGAGTACCACGGACATCAAGGTGTAGAGTCCTCCAGAGTCTTGCAACTGTGCATAAACCTTCTATTCGGCCACCATTAACCAATGCTCACAAGCAGAAACATGAAGACTAATTTTCAAACAGTCCTGTTCACTGATGAGTGCCGTGCAAACTTGGATGGTCCAGATGGATGGAGTAGTGGATGGTTGGTGGAGGGCCACCCTGTTCCAACAAGGCTGCAACGTCAGCAAGGCGGTGGTGGAGTCATGTTTTGGGCCGGAATCATGGGAAGAGAGCTGGTCGGCCCCTTTATGGTCCCCGAAGGTGTAAAGATGACCTCTGCAAAGTATGTGGAGTTTCTGACTGACCACTTTCTTCCCTGGTACAGAAGGAAGAACTATGCTTTCCGTAATAAAATCATCTTCATGCATGACAATGCACCATCTCATGCTGCAAAGAATACCTCTGCATCAATGGCTACTATAGGGATAAAAGGAGAGAAAGTCATGGTGTGGCCTCCATCCTCCCCTGACCTCAATCCTATTGAGAACCTTTGGAGCATCCTCAAGCAAAAGATCTATGAGGGTGGGAGGCAGTTTACATCCAAACAGCAGCTCTGGGAGGTTATTCTGACATCTTGCAAACAAATTCAAGCAGAAACTGTCCAAAAACTCACAAGTTCAATGGATGCAAGACTTGTGAAGCTGCTATCAAATAAGGGGTCCTATGTTAAAATGTAACGTGAGCTGTTTCAAATGTTTAAAAAGTTAAAAGGTTGTTATAAGTTTGATTGAAATAGCTATTGATTTCAGTAAATATGCTGCAAACACAACAAATGTCAATTTTCAGTTCTTTACTACCTAGAAAGTGTTTTGAAACTTACTGTGCGTAATAATCTGGAACAGTGCATTTTAAGTTTTTTATGTTTAAAAAAATACTGTTATCATTGGAGGTTTGTTCAATAATATTTGAATTGTACTCTTAATAGTTAATAACATGAGAATTATGCTGACTGTTATTTACATCAATTATTTAGGTAAATGAGAAAAATATAATTTGCATAATAATTTGGAACAGGGTGTAAGTTCAGTGTATATATTAATTACAAACAAATAAGGGTGCAGAGAAAGTATACCCAAAGAGACATAAAGAGATATTATTGTATCAGTTAGGTCCGGGATATAACAAGAGCTATAATATAAACGGATCAGGAAATATGTCAGGACAAAAGAAAGAATGCTCCTTTTTTCTTTTTTAAATTATTTATTTTTTGGTGCATGTTGCAAGGTACAAAGCATTCTTACATGCCACTTGTCACATCCTGCTCTGTTCTGATGTGATGTCTGGCCTTAGCTTCTGGTATCCAGTACTCTTTATACAATTCTTGTTTAGTTTTTCTTGGTTTTTCTGGTTTTCTATTCTGTGTCTGGTTTTCTTTATGCTGGGTTTTCTGGGTTCATTCCTGTATTCCTTTCCTGGAATTTATGGAATCTCTAGGATTTCTTAAATGTTTGTTTTATGTTGCCACACTCGTTCCTTTTCCATGATTCCTTTTGTTTCAGTTGGTCCCTGCAGACAGTTGCTACAAGTCATAAAAAACAGAAAATACAGAGCGCCACAATCACTATATAGGTAATATAAATGGGGTAAAAAGAAAAAGAATGGAGTATAATGACAAAGATAAAAATAAGGATAAAAAGTAACAAGAATTTATTGATTATAAAATGTCCATATTAACAGCACAAAACATGTGCAGTAAATAAAATTGCCACAATAGGCCAAAAAGACCCTTAGGTACAGCAGTTTAACATAAATAAAATACTGGATATACAAAGTGCAAGTGCCTAGGTGCAAATAGATGTACAGATAAAAGTGCACAAGAAACAATCACCTATAAGTTCAAATAATAATGAACTAAGAGCAAAGTTATTGCACAAGCATTTAAAAACCAGTAAGTATGTGAAATAAAACTGCCGATACCAAGCTGCAGGGTCCAAAAATGAGCTCAACGCGTTTCGTCTTGCGACTTCTTCAGGAGCATCTCCTCACTTCAGAATCCTCTTCCCTTTTGAATCCGTCGGTCTGTGTGATCACTTCCGCCGTCGCTCGTGCGTGCAACACGTCACGCGCACCGTCATACGTCATGACGCACGCGTGACTGGCCCGCGCATGCGCGACCATGCTGGAATGCAGAAAAACTTTATTGATAATGTACACAGTCGCACTAAGGACGTTCCATGTAAAAAAACGTCCTTAAGACTTTTGCGATCTGTGTGTACAAATCCTGCCTAGCCCCCAGCTGACCCCTAACATTCATCACTACCAGCCTAGCAAGTAATATAAATAGTGCTGGTAAGGGGAGGGAAAAAGTAAATAAAATAAAGAGAAGTATAAAAAGGATGATATTTAATATATTTATATATGTTATGTACTTCATCCTTTTTATACTTCTCTTTATTTTATTTACTTTTTCCCTCCCCTTACCAGCACTATTTATATTACTTGTTAGGCTGGTAGTGATGAATGTTAGGGGTCAGCTGGGGGCTAGGCAGGATTTTTTATAAAAAGGATGAAGTACATAACATATGTGCCTGCGGCTCCTCCCGGTCCTCCTCTCTCGAGTACAGAGCGTTGCCGCAGTTACCACGGCAACGCTCCAAATCTCGCGGGAGTGAACTCTAGCCCTGGAGCTACGGGCTAGAGTTCACTCCTACCACTGGGACCACCAGGGAATGTCCCCCCTCCTCCCTGTAAAGGTAAGAAGGGAGGGGGGACATAAATATATTCATTTTATTAAAAAAAAAAAATTATTATTAAAAAGCCTCCCTACCCTCCTCCCCCCCATGCAAACACTGCCCCATACACACACTACCCCCATACACACTACACACACTGCCCCACAAACACTGCCCCCATACACACACTGCCCCTATACACATACTGCCCCCATACACACACTGCCACCATACACACACTGCCCCACAAACACTGCCCCCATACACACATTACACACACTGCCCCATACACACACCTCATACACACACACACACTACCCCAAAACACTGCCCCATACACACACTACACACACTGCCCCCCACACACTGCCCCCATACTCAATACACACATTGCCCCCCATAATAACAATGTCCCCATACACACACTACACACACACACTGCCCCCACAAACACTGCCCCCATACACACACACTACACACACTGCCCCATACACACACACACCAACTACACACCCCTACACACACTGCCCCACAAACACTGCCTCCCCATACAAACACTGCCCTATACACACACTGCCCCCCATACACACACTCACACACACTGCCCAACAAACACTGCCCCCATACACACTACAATAATAATTGCCCCACAAACACTGCCCCCATACACACACTGCCCCAAACACTACCCCATACACACACTAGTACCGCCCCACAAACACTGTCCCCTATACACATACTGCCCCACAAACATCAAATTCCCCCATACACACACTCACACACTGCTCTACCCCCATACACACCGCCCCACAAACACTGCCACCATACACACACTACACACACTGCCCCAAACACTGCCCCCACACACACACTGCCCCCATACACACACTACACACACTATCCCACAAACACTGCCCCCCCATACACACACTGCCCCTTAGCACACACATTGCAACCCTGACATACACTGCCGCCCTCACGCACTCGCACACACACTTCACCGTGCTCACACACACACACACACACTGCACCTTTCACACAGACTGCACCCCTAACACATACCACTGCTCCTATGCCCTATATCCCAGCAGACCCCAGGTAAGTTGTCAAACTGTTCTTAAACGGTTTGCCTACTTACTCTGGGATGGGATCCTGGCACTACTCGCACCATAACTACTACACTGAGCTGTAGTGGTTATTGTGCCTGGATTATTTCTTTAAATATTCTACAAGTGCCCCTCCAAAGATCAGGCTCTGGATCCACCACTGTTTCCAAACTCCTAGTTCCTGGGATCCGCTGAAGCTGCATCAGGGTCCTGGTATGTGGCCGCACAAACGCTGGTGCTCAACACCAGGGGGAGTGCGGTTACCCTGCACCAGACCCTGCTAATCCATTTCCACACTGTAACTCCTACTTTCAACATCAGGCATACTGGGTCCCGGTCATCGAACCACTTTGCAAGACATTAACAAGAAAAAAGGTGAACGAGAGGAGCATATAAAACTCAGGAACATTTGCAAAAAGCAAACGTAATGTACAGTGCTATTGGAGCTACATAGCTATCAGTGTTCTCTCAGGTAGTGGGACCCATTTTCCTTCTGGGTTCTAGTGAGGGTTCGCCGGTGACAGTCCGGGCCAGAGAGCGGGACCTTCCCTGTGCTGGGATGTTTTTAGTAGGTAGATCCAGCGCTGTCAGCAGTGCAGGTGCATCCGACGGTGCTGTGGTTTTATATGATTTTCCTTCCTTTGTGACAAACAGGGTGTTGGGGGTTGCCCATCGGTAGGTCAGATTTTCCGCTTGCAGTGTCCTTGTGAGAGGTTGCATACTCTTGTGCCAAAGCAAGGTGGCCCTTCTTAAGTCCTGAAAAAAAGATATGTGGCTGTCCTCAACGTTATATGGGGATTTCCCCTTTAATGCTGCTGTTAGTCCTAGCTTGTTGGCTACTGTTTGGCATCTAAGGATGATGTCTCTAGGTGCTGTTGCTCGGGCTTTAGGGGATTTGGCTATTCTATATACCCCATGTGAAGTACAAATGTGAAGTACTTAGCTTGTTTCGCCGGTAAAAGGGACTCCACCAGCCGTCTCATGAAGTGAGGCAGTTCTTCCAGGGGGGTGGTCTCTGGGACCCCCCCCCCCCTTATGTTTTTTCTCCGGACTCTGTCATCTCTGGTGCTCAATTGTCTGTTGGTGTTGTTTTAGGCTGTTTGGAGCGGGTGTACATTGTCGCTTAGCACCTTGAGGTCTTGTTGCAGAGCGAGCACATCTGCTTCTGTGGCCTGGGTGCGTGCTGTGACGGCCTGTACCTCTGTAGTGAGTATTGTCAGGTCTGCTTCCCACATTTTCTTGAGGTTAAATTAGAGGCCAGTAAGCATTTCTTGTATGTCTTGTTTTGTTGCAGGAGTCATTAATCCCGGTGTGCTGGCAGCCTCTTGGGTGGTCTGGTTAGGGATCCGGGGTGATTTCCCGCCTTCGGACTGCAGGGGTGTCAGGTCTCTCGTAAGTGAGGTCTCCTGTAAATCTCATGATGGCACCGGCGTCGGGGTCAGCTGCATCTGGCCTATGTCGCGTTGCATTCTTGCGGCAGTCCCAGGTGGCTTTTTGCATTTTCTCCCCATGTCTCTGACCGGCTGGTGGACAGGGAGCATGTCTGTCAGGCCCAGTTCTCCCCACAGTATTTGTTCCCCTGCGGTTACATGTGGCCGTTCGTCCGTGAGGTGGACCCTGGAGCCGCGGTTGCGGTATTTCTTACCCGGTGCCAGAAAGAAAGGCATCGGCCTCTTCAGGACGGTGCCCTTATTGGAGATCTGGTGTCGGGTAGGTCGTGGCTGGAGAGATGCCGTCGTTATCCGGCGTGATTGAGTTGGGCACACAGGAGCTGTGGAAAATGGTGACCGCTCCTTTGCGCTGCTATGCTCTGTCCCTTTTTCTTTTGCTTTTTTAATTGACTACAGTTTGGTGAATAGTAAATTTACCATCAAATAATGATGATTAACACTCACTGGAGAAATCAAGAAAAAAATGTTCTCAAATAATGTGATAAAAAATCTCTCATCCCCACAAAGTGAAGAAATTTAGCAAATCACCATTTTAAAGAAAGTGTACAGTCAAATCAGCTTTGAGATATTCTGTGTACATTACAAAGGTAATTCAACATTCAAAAACAGTTGATGAATTATTAACTGGTAGAAATGAAAGGTAATTTCAATTATCTTCGTAGGCTGTATTCTTCCTTTTCGTAATTTCGCTCCCATGACCTGTCTCATTAAAGTCACATTTAATCTGGGAAAAATTATGCGTTTGCTACTTGTATTAAAGTAAAAAGCATTATTTTGTGACATGCTGACAAATTGAGGTGGGATGTCAAAATTAAAATAGGAGAAACTGAGTATTGAATTATAGTACAATGGAGAGACTTATTTTATTAGAGTACCAAACACTTTGTTAATCTATTCTCTGTTGGAAAGAAACCTTGTGCATGACTTCAAAATAATCTAATATTGGATCATGCTGCACAAAGTGAACATATAACAAAGTGGTTGCATTGCTATGAATAGTTGTACATGTACAGATATGTCACAGAGTAAACTAAAGTGCATTACAGATACACATTATTAAATCTTAAATAATGTAGATATGTCTTAAGTCTGTATTCAGTTTATAACCTTATTGTAGGATTATCAATAAATTAGAGGGTAGAAGTAAGATGTAGAAATTTAATAATCTAATTTAATAATTAATTGGTTGTGGAGTAAAAAATACCACCCATAAAATATGTTTTACCTAGGTATGCTGTAGTTTCCACTAAAAAGGTGTCTGATATACTCTGTTGCAATATTTGGGGCATTGGGAAGGTTCTGATGACACATCAGGGATTTTTATCAGGCTGTAATAACAACCTGTGATGTGCTGTATAATATATATAAGTCTAAAGTTACTGTATTTAATGTATGTGGGTATTATGCCCACATGATATTATTTTTAAATTCTACTGGCATTTTTAAAACAATATCTCCCAAAAGTTCACAGGTCCTTTGAAATGCTCATAATGCGGGTATTTGACAATATTTTTTATTTTCTTGTTTGTATGTTTTTGTCACACTCGCATGAGAAAAATTTTTGTATCCTACATTTCTGTTTGAAAATTAAAAAAAAAATGTTCTTCTACACAATTAAGTTGCTGGATTTAAGTATTTGGAATGTTTACAATACGTAGCACAATATGAGTAAAAAACTATTATTCGACAAGTGTGTAAAAGTGAACCAATCACCATAGAAAGCATTGAAATCTTCTGTGAAAATCTCTACTTGCCCCAACAATTTTTAATTATAAGAGGAATGTTGATGATGAAAGCATAGCTGTTGGTATTTATATCCCTTACTTTTAATTCTCTGCCAACACAATCAGTTTGCCTTCATTCTTGTCATTTCTTCACAGTTGTTTCCCTTTGATCGCTCCTATTTTATAACGTACTAGTGTAGTGTAGTATATTTGCTCATGCCACTTGAAATTAAACTCTGTAGAGTTTCCTGTGATCATTTTCTTGCACGGAAAATATATTTCTAGATTACATAAACTCTCTCATTGTAACAATAAAATAACTTCAAAAAATTTAATAATGATATCCTTTTTTCAGATGTCAACTGTACTTTGTTTTCAGGTGCAAATACCTTCATTGTAAGAAACCATGTACATGTGACATCAGCACTCCCTCGTTCCTTGCAGGTGGTGTGTGATAGCCAAAGAAGA